TTATTAACAAATATTATGAACAATTATATGACAACAAAATTGAAAATCTAAGCAAAATGGATAAATTTCTAGAAACACATAGTCTCCCAAAACTGAACCGGGAAGAGATAGAAAACTTGAACAGACCAATAACAACAACAAAAAAAATTGAAGATGTAACAAAGACTCTCCCAGCAAACAAAAGCCCAGGCCCAGAAGGCTTCATGGGGGGAATTTTACTGAACATTCAAAGAAGAACTAATAATACCCATTCTCCTCAAACTCTTTCAAAAAATTCAAGAAGAAAGAAGACTTCCAAACTTGTTTTATGAGACCAGCATAATTCTAATTCCAAAACCAGAAAAAGACACTACAATGAAAGAAAACTACAGACCAATATCCCTGATGAACATAGATGCCAAAATCCTGAACAAAATACTAGCAAATTGAATTCAGCAGTACATCCAAAAAAATTATTCACAATGACCAAGTGGGATTCATCCCAGACATGCAAGGCTGGTACAATATTCACAAATCAAGAAATGTGATACACCACATAAACAAAATGAAAGATAAAAATCATATGATCATATCAATAGATGCTGAAAAAGCATTCGACAAAATCCAGCACCCATTTCTGATAAAAACGCTCAGTTATCTGGGAATAGAGGGATCATATCTCAACATAATAAAGGCCATATATGAAAGACCTACAGACAACATCATACTCAATGGGCAAAAATTAAAAGCATTTTCCTTAAGAACAGGGATAACACAAGGATGCTCACTTTCACCACTCTTATTTCATATAGTATGGAAGTCTTAGCCACAGCAATCAGACAGGAAGAAAATATAAAAGCGATCCAAATTAGAAAGAAGAAAGTAAAACTGTCATTTTTTACAGTTGACATGATACTATACGTGGAAAACCCCAAAGACTCCATTAAAAATTTACTAGACTTAATAAATGAATTTGGCAAAGTAGCATTCTTATACTCCAATGATGAATTCACAAAAAGAGAAACTAAAAAAAAATCTCATTTACCATCGCAGCAAAAAAGTTAAGATACCTAGGAATAAACTTAACCAAAGAAGTAAAGGACCTATTTGCAGAACACTACAGTCATTGAAAAAAAAAAAAAAAAATAGAGGATGATATAAAAAAGTGGAAGAACACACCTTGTTTATGGATTAAAAGAATTAACATCATTAAAATGTCCATACTACCCAAAGCAATCTGTAGATTCAATGCAATCTCCATCAAAATACCAATGACATACTTCACAGAACTAGAACAAATACTTCAAAAGTTCACATAGAACCAAAAAAGACCTCGAATAGCCACATCAATCTTGAAAAAGAAGAACAAAATAGGAGGGATTACATTACCAGATTTCAGGTTATACTACAAAGCCACTGTAATCAAAACAGCCTGGTACTGGCACAAGAACAGGCATATAGACCAGTGGAACAGAACAGAGAACCCAGAAATGGACCCAAGGCAATATGCTCAAATAGTATTTGACAAAAGTGGCAAGAGCATACAGTGAAGTAAAAACAGCCTGTTTAATAAATGGTGTTGGGAAAATTGGACAACTACATGCAAAAAAATAAAACTAGACCATCAACTTACACCATACGCAAGAATAAACTCAAAATAGATAAAAGACTTAAATGTGACTCATGAATCCATAAAAATCCTAGAAGAAACTCTAGGCAACAAAAGTTCAGACATCATACGCAGCAGAATTTTCACTGACACATCACCTTTGTTTCTAAGAAACAAAGGAGAAAATGAACACATGGGACTATATCAAACTCAAAAGCTTCTGCGCAACAAAAGATACAATCATCAAAATGGAAAGGCTACCCACTGTATGGGAGCATATAATTGCCAATGATATATCAGATAAGGGCTTAATTTTCAATATATATAAAGGGCTCATACAACTCAACAAAAAGAAAACAAAGAACCCAATTACAAAATGGGCAGAGGAACTAAATAGACACCTCTCCAAACAGGACATACAAATGGCTAAGAGACATGTGAAGAAATACTCAAAATCACTAATCATCAGAGAGATGCAAATTAAAACAACAATGAGGTATCACCTCACACCTGTCAGAATGGCTGCCATCAACAAATCATCAAACAATAAGTGTTAGTGAGGGTGTGGAGAAAAGGGGACTGTAGTACACTGCTGGTGGGAATGCAGACTGGTGTAGCCTCTATGGAAAAAAATATGGTGTTACCTCAAAAAATTAAAAATTGAACTGCCATTTGACCCAGTGACCCCACTTCTAGGAATATACCCTAAGAAGCCTGAAACACCAATCAGAAAGAATATGTGTACCCCCATGTTTATAGCATCACTATTTACAAATAGCTAAGATCTGGAAACAGCCCAAGTGTCCATCAGTAGATGAATGTATAACAAAGCAGTGGTACGTATACACAGTGGAGTACTATGCAGCTGTAAGAAATAAAGACTCTTATCCTTTGAGACGACATGGAGGGACCTGGAGAGTATTATCCTAAGTGAAACAAGCCAAGCAGAGAAAGACAAGTATCATATGATCTCACTTATTTGTGGAATATAATGAACTTAACAGTCTGAGGAATGGGGTAGTCCCAGAGACATGGAAGTGGGGTACAGACTGACAATCCTCAGAAGAGGGGGTGGTGCGGGAGAGATAAACCACAGAATTTATATGCATGTATGTATGAACAGTGGACATGGACAACAAAGCTGGGGACAGGGCAGGGAGGGATGAGAAGGGTGGAATCAGTGGTGGAAAAAGGAGAAACATCTGTAACAAAAATAAATTAATTAATAAATTAAAAATATATAAAAAAAACACTAATTCAAAAAGATATATTAAAAATAAAGTGTCAGAGGGGAAAAGGCAAGATGTAGAAATACCAGGCACACAGACCTGTCATTCCCTATGGACTGTGCCAATGGCAGGTATGCTAATGGAATACAGTTTTTAAAGGGTAACTTTTCACTGTGGGCCAGAGTTTGCTTTTGATACCAAATGTATTGGCGACTGGAAAGAGAGAGAGAGAGAGAGAGAGAGAGAGAGCGCGAGCACTGATTTACTTTACTCTCAGAGTTTAATTAGGCAATTCAAAATTATAATATTTTGGTGCTTTTAATTACAGATAAATTATGATTGTGATTTCACTTTAAAACCTAAATTTCTTACTATTTTCTCTGAAAGATCTGCATTATTTTTGTTAAAGGCTTTTACCAGCTTTGCAAAATGAGTTAAATAAAAAGGGAGAATAAAATATATTACCATTTGAAACTACTCATCTGTAAGAGTAAAAATGCTCAGCCCCTAGTCTCCCAAAGCGAAGTGCGCAAGGAGGCTGGCCCTGCAGGAGGACGTCCGCCCGTCACTCGTAAACCCCAAACAGAACCCCATGGTATCAGAAATGCCCTCTGATCTTTTATAAATGCTAGATATTTTCACTTGCAAAAATGTTCATATTAACAAATTATTATCTGTTTTTTATATTGGGTTTCCAAATAGTACTCAGGGTGATTGAAAAATATGAGCCCTGGAACTGTACAGCCTGGGTTTAAATCCTGGCCTTTCCATTGGTTAGCTTTGGGGCCTCAGGCAAGTTGCTTACCCACCCTCCTTACCTCAGTTTCCTCATCTGTGAACCAGGGATAATAACACTTACCTCATAGGGTTGGTACAGGATTAGTAAGTTAATATCTGTGAAGTATTTAGAGCAGTGTCTAGCATATATATTTGTGCATATATATTGTGATATTAGCATATATATTGTGATATATATATATCATATCACACAAATGATATATATATCATATCACACAAATGATATATATATCATATCACACAAATATATATGTATGATAAACATATGATATAAGTGCTATTTGAAAACCTGATAAATAATACAAATTTCATTCAAAATGAAAACTCTTCTGTTAAAAGATTCTAAAACTTGTATTTTAACCTGTGAGTATTTATTTAGACAATAATTACTTAAAATTAGATTAATCATTATTGATGCAATTCATGTTAACCAATCAGCTTTAATATTCTTCATTAAAATGACATAAATTTACCCATGATTTCATTCCCCCACAATAAATTCAAAAATATTTTGATGAAGAACACTTCAAACTTAAAAAAAATTTTGTATATGGTACTCTTTTAAACAAAAATGCCATAATACTTATTTAAGATAGTGGGTATAAACTATGGACAGGACTTTTGCCAGGTCCTGCTGTGTTTCAGTGTGCAGGATTGGTGTTTGTATGTAGTAGGTGTTCAATAAATATTTGTTCAATGAAAAATTCTTGTTCCTAATAAAAATTTTACTTAATACATTTGAAGATATTTTAAGTGTTAAATATTATTCTTCTAACATTGCATAGTATCATTTTTAATGTCATTAACATTCCATCTTATGAATATACACGTTCTTCATCCACTCTCCTATTGTTGAGCATTTATGCTACTTACATTGTCTTACTTTTATAAACAAATATTGTGACAAGTACTCACCAAAAAAATTTGCATTTACCTCTGATTATTTTCTTAGGATAAAGCCTAGAGGTGTCTGGGTAATTAATTACATGAAATTTTAAGGAATATGATTCATTCACTATTTATTTGGTAAAGACAGGGGTGGTGTGTGTAGGTTTACAGTAAAACACAGAGTCTATTCTTGTATAAATATTGATTAATTACTGTAGTATTTTCCATTCGAACACTGTAAAGTTAGTACCCCACCCTGTATTTGCCAAATACCTCTCCCGTGCCCCAGGGGTACCAGAAGGGCGAAAGCAGGCACTGTCCTGTCAAGCGGATCTGTGTACCGCAGAGGCTGGTAAGCGACAGCCATGGTCAAACACAGCTAAGTGCCTTTTACTGACTTTCAGTGAATGGAGTTTTACCGGAGCACCGTCACACTTACTAGTTTCGTTTTGCCTGCAAACCCCCCGCCGGCAATGGCAGAGCTGGATGGTGGTGACAGAGACTGTAAGGCCTGCAAAGCCCAGGATACTCATCAGCTGGCTCATTACAGGAAAAGTTCACCAACCCCTGACCTAGGAGCTTGTCATTTTATCAAATTTCCCTCCAGGAACTTTCTGTTCTCACTGTAACCCAGAAGACGTCTTCACATTAGCAGGGCAAGCATGATTGGATTTCACTGGGTTCCTTTATTTATGTTCTTAAGAAACTTTGTACAAAACAAGTCATCCTGAGCATGGCATGCATGAGCAACCACCAAATCTGAAACTAGTGGAATGAAAATTATTGAAATTCACGTTAAGTGAGACATGAGAACTGGTAGCTGAGGCGGTGTGACCCCTCAGCGGTGTGACCCAGCTGTCCTGTGTGTTCCGGAGGCTCAGAAGCCTGGAGTAACTGAGTTGCTCATGTCTTCTGCTGCCCGGAAATAAGACTTTAAAAATGCTGGCATTGTTGAAAGCAATTGTGTATCATTTTATCTATGAATCCATTTTGTTTATTCTGAAACTTACCAACATTACCTTAATGACTCACATAAATGAAAATAGCTGTTATTTGACTTTTTTTTCTCCCAGCACTGGCCTCATATAGGCATAGTAATAAGTATTTGTCAAAGTCACACTGTTTGCTTACAAGGTATGAAGGCTTTTAGACACTATAATGATGGCTCTTAATTCATTTTTTCATATTTAAAATAAGCCATAAAAGCCCATCTCTGAAGAAACAGACCACTTTCATTGGCTTTTAGTGATATTACTGCTGTCATAAGTGGAAAATTGGCCTAATTCAAGTGATACTGCCGTGCCCTACTACAAACTGCCACTTGGCTTAATGGTTTACTTCTTCCAATGAACGTGGGGCCAGGTATGGGGATGGTCCTACTGTCTTCCTGAGGGGCAGAACCTGACGCCACCACAGTCTGTGGTTCACTTGAGGAACAGGAAGAGATGCACTTAAAGATGGGTGGAAACTTGCTTAAATGTCTTAGGCAAGTGCTCATTTGTCACATAAACACAGCTTGTGTCCTACTATGTGCCCAGTACAAGGGGACACAAGGGTGAGGAGTTTGATTAAGCTGGAACTCAGCTTTAACCAGAGGATGGCAAGTGAGTGTCTATCGGCCAGATATTATTGGCTCCCTAATATTTTAAATTTCTATTGAGATATAACTTATGTAGAATAAAGTACACAAATCCTAAGTGTACACATTGATTTAATTTTTTGTGTACACCCACGGAACCACTACCCAGCAAGATATAAAAGCTTTCAGCACCCAGACAGCTCCGTTGTGCCTCACAGGGCCTCCCAGAACCTTTGCCCCAAGAATACTATTCTAACTTCTATTTCTATAGATTACTTTTGCCTGTTCTTCATATAAATAGAATCATGCAATGTATATTTTTTATATCTAACTTTGTTTGCTCAACATCTTGTCTGTAAGATTTATTCATGTTTTTATAGTACCAGTAAGTAATTCATACTTTTCTTTTTTTAATTGCTGTGTTATATTCCATTGCAGGACACAATTTCTTTACTCATTTTATTGTTGTGGGATATTGAGATTGTTTCAATGGCTGACCACTTTGAGGAAAGCTGTTTTGAATACTGTTGTGCATGTTTTGTACAAGAGACATACACACTCATTTCTATTGGGCATAAACCTAGAGATAGTTTCTGGGTGGTAGAATGGGTATATTTTTAGCTTTAGTCAGATACTGTTCATTACTTTTCCAAAATCACTCCCATCTGTACATCCATTTATCAGCATATGAGATTCCAGTTGCTCTGTGTTGTTGTCAGTACTTGATATCGTCCATTTAATATCATTTTAATAAATGCTTTTATATGCTGCATGTACAAAAAAATCCAAGAATAACATACTTGTGTTTGAAATATGTTTTCTATGGTGGCTTGAAACAACATAAATTTATTCTCTCCCGGTTCTTAACGTGGGCAGTGAAATCAGTGTCATTGGAGCAATGTCGAGGTGTCGGCCGGGCTGACTCCGTCAGAGGCTCTAGGGGAGCATCCGCCTCTTGCGTCTTCCAGCTGCTGTTGGCTCCAGCATCCTCAGCCTGTGATGCTTCACTCCCATCCCTGTCTCCATGGTCACAACACCTTCTCCTCTTCTGCGTGTCACCTCTTCCTCTGCCTCTCTCTTATAAGGACACTTATGATTGAGTTTAGGGCCCACCTAGGTAATCCAAGTCCATCTCCACAGCTAATAATATCCTTAACTTAATCACATCTGCAAAGCCCTTCTTTCACACAAGGTGACATTCACAGGTGCCAGGGATTGGGACCTGGTATCTTCGGGTGGCTACTGTTCGGCCAGTTCCGCTGACCTCATCTCTCCTCCTCACTACTCTAGGTATGCATGCCTCAACTCTCACCGCTGCCTGGAGCTCTGCTTTCAGAGGGGCTGGGTGAAGGCACGCCTTCCTCTCTGCGTCACTGCTTCCTCCGTACGTTCTTTCGGTCAGAGGTCACGCGCCCAAACTCACATCGGGTGTGTCACTGCCTTGTATAAGCTTCTCCGAGGAATCACCGCTCCCCCATAGACGTGTGGACATTCACACTCTTTGGCTTCTAGGAAGGCATCAAGCGCCTCCAGCTCTGCCCTGCTGTCTTTCAGCCCTCATCACTGGACTCTGCTCAGTCTAAGGGTTAAGATCACAAGATTCAGGGTTAAAACACATTTGTTCGATTTCTGCCTTTACTGTTTACTAGCCGAGGAATCTTGGATAGGCCACATTTTTGTGCTGTTGTAGTTTTCTCTAAGTTCAACTACTCCCTTGGAGTCTCCCTCCTGGTAAATGGGGAGACGAAGTGAGACCACGTGTGTGCCTGGCACTGGGTAGAAGTTCAGAAGAAAAGCTGCTCCGGTTATGTCACATCAAATACAGGAATCCACACGCTGGATGATATTTTATGTCTCTAGGCATTTATCCTCAATGGTTCCTCTCCCTGAGGGATCCTCACAACACTGGTCTCCGTCCAAGTTAACTCCTTCTTGTCTTCGAACTCAGTCCCACAATCTCTGCAGAGCCTGCCCTGGCTCTGGTAGTCACTCAGACCCTGCATATGCAAGTTGTCATACGCACCTGTTTGAAACACATATTCTTTAGCCCAAATCACAAAAATCCTGGCTCTTCATATCTTAGGGGGGGGGTCTCATTAAATATTTAGTTACAAAAAGATTTTGGGGCGATTCCAGTGTGAGTGGCTCCTCAGTCTCCTTTAGCGCCCTGTGCACGGCACACGGCCAGCGCGGCTTGGCACGGAGCCCTCCTGGGGAGAGCATCGCTCAAGAAGCTGTGTTCTCCCACCAAGTTCCCAAATGGCCACATCTCCCATCCATGCAACCTCAATTTTGTAAATTATATCATGTTACTTACACAAGCTAATTATTTTCCATTCCTCTATAACTTACATTTAAAACCTTCTATGGTCTAGACTCTGAACCTCTTTGGACTCAGCTCTTAGCACCCAGACTGGCTCATTCTGCCTCACTGGGCTTGAACATGGCAAGCATCCTTGTGATTCAGACTTTGCAACTGCTATTTCCCGGGTGGAAATTCTCTCCCTCTGAATATAAACAAGGCTTTTGCCCTCATTTCATTCTCCTACCTGCTGGGGTATTGCCCAATCAAAGAGGCCGTCCTTGAGCGCCCTATTTCCACCCCGCTACCCTCTAGCACTTTCATCACCAGACATACTAGATACTTATTTGCTTGCCTCTTGCCTGCTATTCTCCACTAAAATACAAATGCCATGACTATTTTGTTTTTTCCTTCCACAGTGCCTAGACTAATGCCTGGAAAAGAGCTGGGTTTAGTAAATATTTGTAGAGTAAATGAATCTACCACATGGTCTCAGAAATATAAAATTTACAAATGAGAGGAAAAGATGAATCTTATAACCATTGGGTGTGCGAGAGGGCTTCTCACCAAGATTAACTCTGATAACAAGACAAAATGGAGGAGGAAGCTGAAGAAGCAGTAAATAAGTATATACCAATCATCGAAGATTTTTAGACTAATGGCATGGGAACCTCCGACGGATTCTCTCCACCCACAGCTTTTGGGGATGATTAATAATTAAACCATAGACTACATTGTCTTGACACTGACCCGGCTCCGGGTGGCTGGCGGCTTAAGCTGTGCTGTGGTGGGAGATGCCTGTGAATGAGCTTTATCAGGAAGGAAGACACAGGAGTAGATGCAGAAGCCTTGTAAAACCAAGCAGTGCTCTGATTGGTCACTTTCAGTTGGTTTGTGTTTTCAATGCACTGTGCCTGGCAGATAGTAAATGCTCAATAATAAAAAAATGAATAGAACCTACATTCGACAGAAGCTGAGACTGGACATTTACTCTTGAGACTGAGGGATGTCATTATTCTTCCTGGATACTATAGACATATGCAAAGAAGAAGGGCCTTGAAGTCAGAAAGAGCTGAGCTGAAATCCCACATGACTCTTATAGTCTCTCCTAGTCCCTGCTACCTCAATGGCACAACTGTGTCACCACCTTAGTGCTGTTTGGCAGATGACAGGGATTGATGCTTGACTCAGCTCTTTGTAGCTATGATCATAATAAGAGCTGGGGTTTGGATGTCTAAGTTTCAAGGGGATTTCAAGTTAAAATCTGGGTTGCATATAGTGAAAGAGAGAATAAAGACTATGTGATATTAATTTTTTAAAAAAGAAAAGGGATTTTAGGCAAATCTGTTATATCTGGGTAGGGAGTAAATACTATATTTTTTAAATGTGTAAAATTTTAAAAATCAAGTGATTAATTTATATGCTATCAATAATCTTACAAGACTGTATCAACTCTACTTCTGATCTCAGATCTCTAGTCTTTCTGTCATCCCATCCTCAAACAAAAGGACATCCATTACACGTCTTTGTGTGACAAAGACACTAGCTAATGGCTTTTTAAAATCCTGACAAAAACTTGGTTTTAAAGCCCAATTAGACTGTTTATTTTTTTCTTTCATAAATACAACGC